GCTCAAATATCTGAGAACAGTACAAGGTGCACGAGAATCAGCCGTCATTGAGTTCTAGTGGCTTGTAGGGCCAAAAGGCCAAGGGCTGTGGGTCACCCAGCACCAGGCTTTCTGGCAGACAGAAAGCACGAGAAATAGACCCAAGCCTAAGATGAGAGGGAGGGGAACCCCTCTACTGTCTGAGCCCCAAAGATAGCCAAAAAAGGGGGAAATGCTTAAACCCCAGAGACACTGAAGAGAGAGACTGCAAAGGGAGCCCAATAAGGGTAGGTGGACTCACCAAAGAATATACAGTGCTGGATGCTAGTGAGGACGATCAGGAGGATGAGTCCTGGCCAGTCGTGTCCTCAGGGTGGTTGTGGGTTGAGTCGGAATCGGACTCAATTTCCCCACTGGGATTAGTGGGGAAACCCGATCCAAGTCACAGCACCAAATGTAGGCCCCAAAGTGACCACATGGAGAGGAGTGGTCTGGCCAAGAGATTCTTTATTGCCTGCTCAGCAGGAGCGAGCGGCGTGGAAGAGATAGAGGGAGCCGTGAGAGCAAGAGAGAGAAGGGCAGGAGCTTAAATACCCCTCGGTGAGACTTGGCACAATCTGATTGGTTAAGATCATATGATTCATGCTGATTGGAGGAAGGGGCAGAAGGGAAATTTAAGCTAAACGTGAGGCAGGACCTTGACCTTGGGAAACAGAAACTTAAGGGTGCAGTAAGAACCAAAACCTATTGGCGCCATTATTGCCAACAACATTTAAATAAGCTCATTGTGTGAATCTTGTGGCTGATCAAGACTTTGATCTTTGTTTCTAGGAATGACTGAACCTAATTCTTCTAATGCAGGCCTCCTCCTCTATGTCAAACTCTGAATCTCAGTGTCTAAATGAAGAAAAGTTGGATTTGGGGTAAAAACTCCTAATCCTGCCTTCTATTTTCAGGGGCACAGTCTGGATCTGGAAAGGGCAAGATGTTGAGTAGAGTTGGGGGCTTTGTGCTGGGTCTGCTCTTCCTTGGGTTGGGGCTGCTCATCTACTTCAGGAACGCAAAAGGTAAGAAAGCTATTGGTGGCTTAGACTTTTCGGGGGGAGGAGGGGGAGAAATGTGGCTTTGCTGAGGTTAGTTCTGAGGATATCAGTGGCCATGTGAGAAGACTTCATTTCCTTAGGCAACCTCAGATTTAAAAGAAATTATTAAAGCCACTGTCTATGGTTATTATGTTGAAGTCTAAAGGGTTGTTGCTTATAAAGTAAGGAAATATTAAAGAGATGTTAGTTTGAGAACATGCGATAGTAAGAGCCAATTATTACTGGCTTTGTGAGACAGGAGCTTTCTGCATCAGCACTCCCACTGTTTGTTCTCTATTCTCTTCATGGCTCATGTGGTTTATGGTGTTAGAGAAATCTCAGGTGGCAGAACTGAGGTTGGAGACATTCCGTTCTGGGACATATTGTCTTCATATATTTGTCTTCTCTTCTCTTTTGCAGGTCACTCTGGACTTCATCCAACAGGTAATGTCCTCTAGTCCTCTTTCAGAGGTAGAATTGCTTTCCCTTCAACACATGAAATGAGGCAGAGATACTGGGAAAGGCTTTGAATCCAAATTTCTGATAAGTCAGAACATTCGTCTCTGAAACTCATTTGTTTCTTTCATTTGTTTTGTGTTCTTGTGGTCCAGGCAATCAAACTGAGGGCCCATCCATGTAAGGCAAGTGATGTACCACTGCACTATCTCCTAGTCCTTCTCTGCAGTTAATAAAAATCTATGCTCTGAAGTAGCATTGGCTCAGGAAGACTTGATTTTTTTTGTCTTCTTACTTTACTGCTATCATGAGAGGCCTGAAGGGCAGAAAAATTCCACATTCAGAGTTCATTCTGAAAACACCACTGTCCTGTCTTCTGTAGGACTCCTGTGGTGAAGTGAAAGTGAGGGCACTGAGGAAGAACCTCTGTCCCTATCTTTCCATATCATGAAAATGCTTCCTGCTTGGCTTTCATACTTCCACAGTGAGAGTGCATTCTCAGTCCTGGATCCTGCCTAGATCAATGACTCTAGAGAATATGTCCACAGGGATGCTTTCCTCAGCTCTGTCCCAGTTTTGGAAACCCCAGTAGATTCTGCAGCACCTCTTCCTTCTCTCTTGGTCCCTTTTGCAATTCAACCATTACTACCTCCTGTGTATCTGAACTCACCTTGTGCCATAATACTTAGCTATATTTTTTGTCATATAAATGTGGTGAAACATTCTATGCTTCACACAGTTTGAAGGACAAGATATTGAAAAGAAAAAATACAAAGGAAGGATTGCCCATCCGGTTAGTTAAACTCACGTTTGTTAACCAATTTCCCTCTTATAACTATCTAAATCCACTTCTTATTAATTCTGTTGCTCCTGAGACAGTACCAGGCATATGTTAGTACTGTAAGAATTTGCTTCTACATTAGCTTTAATATTCAACTAGGTACAAGAAACAGTGCATACAAGTTTAGAGTAGGTGGAATCTACCTATTCTATAGTCTCCATAGTCAGAGGCTATCTAAGGAGAATGATGAAGGGTATGAATTCAACTATGATATATTGTAAGAACTTTTGTCAATGCCACAGTGTACCCCCAGTACAACAATAAAAAAATGATAAAAAGAGCATATCTATACTTCTATTGACAAACGAGAGCAGAGTAAGGAATATAAACTGTAATAGGCCCTGATGGAAACTACATGAATATAAGATAGGCTGTTTCATATTACCAAAAGTGGATTATTCATTGTTTAAAGAAAGGGCTGGGTTCCAGTGGCTCATGCCTATAATCCTAGCTACTCATGAGGCTGAAATCAGGACGATTGTGGTTTGAAGCCAGCCCAGGAAAACAGTTCATGAGACCCTATCTTGAAAAAACCCATCACAAATAAAGGGCTGTTGGAGTAGCTCAAGGTGTAGGCCCTGATTTCAAATGCCAGTACTCCTCCCACCCAAAAAAAGTAGGATAGCTCCAATATCTGGACACTAACAAATGAAGTAGGTTCACAACTCATTTTAACCTTATCACCTCAAAACTGCTAAGATGATGGTCCCAGGTCTTCCTAAACAGTGGCAACTAGACTAGAATCTGCTAAATAACTGGCTTCTCAGTGCACATCATGGTTCTTCCTGCTATCATTAACACACAAATGACAGAAAATATCAATCTTTTAAACAAAAACCACATAATGCATCTGAAAGTCCCACACATAAGTATGCTGTGAATTTTTAAAATCTGTTCATTAAGAACCTAAATATAAATAACAAGCATGAAAATACTAGTAATAAAACATGATGGTTTGGCCATTTTATTTTAGCCCTAATTTTGTGAATATATCTAATTTGTTAAGTGTAAAAAAGCAAAAGCAATATCCCAGAAGAATGACAATGACCAGGAAATTCAGACTGTGGCTACTCATGACACTCTTGTACACTAGGAAAAACTCTACAGTAGCACTGACTTTCTTCCTCCTATGGACTTTGAAAAGTACTGAAAATAGGAGACCCTCAAGAGGTAGCCCATGAGACAGCACCAGTCCCACTAGATGGCACCATCTCCCTCCAGCAAGTCACTCTGCTCTCTGAGCAACAAGTGCTGACACTACTCTTGATGTTAGCAAAACTGAAAGCTGTCATCAACACATTGATATCCTTACTGGGAAATTATGACCCACAACAAAAAATTCAAAGCAGGAGAAGAGTTTACCCAAATGCAAGCATTCTATTCTAGCACCATGGCTCCCTCCTGCTCCCATTTCAAATCAGTGGCTGGAGGGGTACAATCTCTTGCAGGTAAGAGAAGTTATACAAAATGGATATTTTCTTTTCCTCTTCCTATCTCTACAAACTACATGCTAATTTAGTTTTCTTTCAGCTTTCTTTGCTGCAGAGAACAATACTTTCCTGCTAGTCCTTGAATAACATATTTATTATAGTAAATATCCTTGCCATAATGAAAGTATCAAAATAATATACAATTAATGGCATAAAAACAACTAGACATAAAAAAGGAGGGATTGCATCATATTTAAAATGATTTCCCTTTATGTATGGCATGTGAGATAATTCGTATGTTAAATAGGTTAAATTAATATATATATGACTTTTACTTGTCAATTAAAATAATTTTTAGGAATCTTCAAAAATGCCAACACAGGGCCTATAAAGCTCAGAACAGATTTGTTGCAATTTAAACAAAGAAAAAGCACATGATTGAAACAAGGTAAAAAAATAAATCAAAGCTTTTTTAGGCCCTTCTTTAAAACATTGTGTAACTATCACTGCAAGTTAGTGTCTGGATCTAAACTCCACAGATTTCCCTCACATGCTACTATGAGCAAGTTGTGTGGGCTTCAGAGAAAGGAAAGTGAATTAGTTGAGAAGTTGAAGGTTCTGCTCTTGTGATCCATCTGAAGAGTCAATTTCAAATTTAAGTCAAATCAAAAAGCAATTAATCAGTTGTTTATTGGAGTAATATCATTTGAATGCAATTCCTCTAGTGTCCAAGATAGCTCCGATTTTAAGGAAATTCACAATTTGTATTAGGCATATTTAAATTATTTTATGTATAATTCTTGCAAAGCAGATTTTCCGATTGGAATTTGATAAGCAAGTATTGATGTCCGTTCTGCTTGATCCCAATGTTGCAAATTTACTCTGCCCTATTCCCTCAAATGAAGAAATGAATTGTCTTATTTTGGTCTGTGGCATGAAATTATTAAGGAGTTGTTATGAGTATTATGTTTGATGTGTATTAAGCATATTGAAAATTATATAAAAATGTAATACACTGTAAAACCTACATGAAAATAATATTGTGTGCACTTGAAAGCCCTATGATGTAAACACATACCATATGGTGCCTGATATGCAAATCAGCCAACCCTAAGCTGGTGCTAATATGCAAATGAAGCAACCCTAAGGTGGCTCTGATAAACTGCTACTCTACAGATACTTCAACTCCACTCACCACAAGACCATCGCCACTTTCTCCCGATCGACAACACGCATAACGTCGGTCAAGAGCAGACTGGGATGAGGTGGACCCAGACTCTCTGCATGGCCTGTCGGATCCCTGGGCATCCTGGAGGTGTATCGAGACTGAGAACTAGCCAGCCGCCAGCAGACTAAGATCATCTCGCAAGGTGAGCACAGTTTCGGGAAGGCTGAGGCTCTATCAGCTGTTAGGTTGTAACTCCCTGCAATAAAGTGTGTGTATGAGCAACTTAGTTCCTGCCTAAGTTAATTTATTTAGTGCCTGACTGATGGTTAACTTTACACTGTCACCTGCTCATGACAGGAGTATTAATAAATCTGGCACAAATATTGCAATAAGAATGGTTTCTGCTGAGAATAGCAGGAAACCTAGTATAATTAAGTTTAGTTTTCTATTGTTGTTCTCTTGCATTGTTTCTGATCAGAAGATTTCCAAGTTCTTTGTTTCCTGAATGGAAGCAAGCAAGCAAGACACGTGGATATAGTAAGGGAGGTAATAGAGTTTATTAAGTGTAAATGGAACACATCACAAGAAAAAAAATGTGGCCTCCTCTAGCTAGGTGGGCCAGTTGGAAGGGATAAGCCATAAGCAAAGAGAGAGAGAGTTCTGTCTGTTTCAAGGTGTTTAAAACCATACTAACCTATGGGAGGGGAAAAACCTGGGCAGTTCCAGATCAGCAATAATGAGTAGGTGGGGAGGGATTTGGGCAGTCTCTGGGCGAGGGTGATGGATCACTCTGAACATATTTGCAATTGAAAAGGAGTCCTTGTAATTGAATGGGAGGTTCAGAGAGAGAGAGAGAGAATCCAATCTGATATATAATATGTTAAGTCATATATGTTTAAGAGTCCAGTCTTTCCCTATTTTCTAGCCTGCATCAGTATAACTCATTATCATCCATGGTAGTCAGATTCAAGGTGCTGCATCTCCAGGGCTGCTCGGTTCAGCAGGCCAGTGACATCTCCAATGATCCTGGAACAACATATATAATCCTTTACTCATTCACAGCATGTAGGTGTTTATGAGAGGCTCGAAGGACACCTGCTATCACTTCAGTTTACATAATCTCTTAATAAATTTCTAAAGGCAGGAAAAGAAACTCTTTTTTATGGTGTGCTTCTGTAAGGAGCAGATAAATGTCTTCTAGATTTCCCGGTAGACCCACCTCCTTGCACATGGAAAGGACCATAAGATCACCATGGCAAGCTTACAAATATCCTACCCTGTGTATATGTGTATATGTTACTGGAGGATTGATGAGGAGACTCCCATGGCCTCTAAGTTTCCACACAAAATCACAGGTTCTTGAGATCCACAGACATGAAAATCATTTCAAGGTATCTCACAACAAGAAGTCTTACAAGGTGGATGTTTTAGAAAGGATTTATTTTAGTATAATAGGATAAAGAAGTATGGACAAGGTGGTGGTGGACAAGAGAGGGGAACAGTTCCTGTTCCCCATGCAGGAAATGAGAACAGACTCAAAATGGTGGTTCAGTAACTGTGGTTTTATACTTTCCTGGGATGGGGGAATCCATATCATTCGAAGTCTAGCAACTCTAACCAAGGACCCAAGATGGGTGCTGTTTGTTACTGCAAAATATGGAGATGTTATCTTGGCTTATCCAAAACACAGGGACAATAGGTGAATTTTAGCATTTCCCTTTGCCAGACAAGTCTGTTATTCTACCCATTCAAGAATCATTGAAACTTGTTAACATCTCAAAGAGGAAGCTGGATGCTGGTAGCACCTTTAAGTCTGTCTTTTCATGTAAATTAACATGTAAAAGGAGATGGGAAGGGGCTCCTTGCTGTGACTTTTCAGTTTTTATTTCATAATTCCAATGTCTGAGTCTGGCCCTTTAAATATTTATTAAAATGGTATAATTTCCTTGTCTTCTCATCTATCTCTCCTGCCTCACATTTGGCCCTATGTCATGGGAAGGAAAGGAGCAAAATCTTACCTTTGTTGAAAGAAAGAAATGGTGGGGCCAAGAGGTTCTGATCCTTCTGAAACATTTATAGACAAGCCCAAGTCAGATATTCTTAAGTATTGGGGTCATTTTGTACTTTCCTTGTAAAACTTTATAACTGTTGTCTATTGACATCTTACAACACTTTTAAGATGCCAGCATATCCCCTGTAAAATAGACAAAATAAGACTTATTAAGTCTAGCCTAGGAGTTATTTTTTTATAAATCTTTTTACTTAATTTGGCTAGAAAGGTCTCAACGGCACTGACTTTAGATTTGACTAATGTGCTATTTCCCCTCCAAGAATGGACCAAATCAGACTTTCTGGAAGTGTTACATGCTGATGCAAATTGTTGCAGGACAAGGGTCCTTGTCTTTACAGGTCAGAGAACTGGCTTGTAAGGCAGATGATTGATGAGCCAAAGCTGGTATAAAAAATGGATTTCCTAGAGAGAAAGGAAAGACTACAGCTAGAGCATGCAGTGGAGCCCAGAAACAGGTAACTCTCTGCTCAGGTAAAGGCTGGGGTTTTTATAGACTTTTAAACTCTGGGTTAGGTGGGTTCTTTTCATTGGCCATGGATTCATGGGCTTTCTTAGATGAACTGGTTTGTTTGCCCCTTATTGCTGGAGAGGGGGGGTAGCAAGGTAGCAATCATGAGAGCATGTTGCTCATCAGCCCTGTGGCAGATCTGTCAAACCCTGTATCTTCTCTTTAGGATGCAGAAATGCAGATTTACAACTCCTTCTCAGGATGCAGGAATGCAGTGCTCTCCATGGGGAATGGGATACTCACTCATCTGCTTTAGATTTCCAGACCCAACAAATCCCCACTCTGAGACAAGTACCCAATTGCTGTTGGGGAGAGGGGCAATGACTCATCTAGCTGCTTCGTGCTGACAATGGGGTGACCGGGGGTGGGGGATGGGGAGGTTGATATGAAAAGTGGTACTTGTCTCAGTGGTTGACCCATGTAGTCTCCAGGGACCCCCAATAGAACAGGATGGAGGGCTCATGCATAGGCAGAGGTGAGTATTCCTTGACTAAGAGCTGGAGTTTGATCCATTGGATCTGTTGAGATATGAATCTGGAGAGAGCATTTGTTATGCAAGACCCAAATAGGAATATTAGTAGGAGCATAAAAAGGGGTCTGGCAAGGGCTGCATATCTAGGGATCCAGATTCTTCTGCAAAATTCTGTAACTCCCAAGAAAGCTCTAAGCTGCTTTATGGTCTGAGGTAGGGTGGGGGGAACAGAGGATTGGGTCACATAGCTCATAACTAAGGCAGTCAGTCTGTCCCTTTAAAACCACACTTAGGTAGGTGACCTGAGGGAGGCATAATTGAACCTTTTCCTTAGAGACTTTGTATCCCTGGGAGGTCAGAAAGGTTAAAGGGACTCAGTTGCCTTGCAGATAATGGGCTCTGTGACTCCATACAGAAGAAAGTAATCAACATATTGAAGAAGGGTGGCTTCTGGGTAGTGTCAATCTAATAAGTCTCTGGTTAGGGCCTGTCCAAAAAGATAAGGGCTGTCTTTAAACCTTTGTGGCAAAATTGTCCAAATTAGTTGTTAACTGTCAGGATGCAGAAGAATGCAAAAGAAAGTGATCTTTAAATCTAATACAGAGTAATATTGGGCTTTTCTGGGTATTTGAGCCAATAGAGTATGCGGATTGGGAACAATTGGGTAGAAGGGAATGACTGCTTCATTAATGAGCTGGAGGTCTTTGAACCAACCTCTATTTGTTTGGTCCCTTGCCAGTAATAGGAGAATTATAGAGGCTAGAACAACTAATTAGTAGCCCTTTTTTTAAAGGAATTTATGATAGGTAAGAGGCCTCTTTGTACCTCAGTCTTAAGGGGATACTGATTTTGGTGTGGAAACTGTGAGGGATCTTTGAGTTTTATTTGAATTGGGGGTGCTGTTCTGGCTCACCCTACAGTCATTCCATCAGTCCACACTGTGGGATCTACTTATTCCTGAAGAAGAGGGCAGCAGAGATAGTCTACTGGGAGGAGTAGAGTTTGAGCCTTTAGTTGAGATAGTAAATCTCATCCCAATAGGGGCACTGGAGTTTCAGGAACCATGAGAAAAGAGTGACAGAAGTGGAGGTCTCCCAAGAGCAAACCAGAGGCCAGGAAAAATAGCATTCTAAGGGCTGTCCAGAAATGCTCTGGATGACAACCTTGTTATTGGACCAGGGACCGGGAGAGAATGGTAAGACAGAGAAATGAGCTCCACTGTCTAGGAGGAAAATGACCTTTCACTTCTCTACCATTATGGTTACCTGAGGCTCCTCAGCATTGATGCTAAGAAGTGGATCCTGGACAGGAGGCCTCAGGAACTATCAGTCCATAGGAGGTGAGGAGGTGGCACCCTGCCTTCCATCTGGAGACAGGGGCACTTTGACTTCCAGTGGTTACCTTTGCAGAGAGGGCAGGGTCCTGGTGAGGAAGAGCCCAGGGCTGTCTCTTGGGCTCTCCCCCTTTTGGGCATTCTCTGCACGAGTGCTCCTCCTGTCCACAATGGTAGTGAGCTTGGGATGTAGGCCCAGTCAGGTGGGGCACTCCCTGGGAGCTGCAATGAGGTCATGGTGTCTTCTATCCTTTTCTTTCTTTTTAGAAATGTCCCAGTTATAGCAGACAGACATGGAAAGATGCATTAGTTGGTCCAATGATTTTTTTCTTCAGCCACAGACTTTTGGAGTTTTCTATGGATATCTGGGACTGACTGAGTTAGAAATTTATCTTTGAGGAGAACCTCCCCCTCCTGTGACTCTGGATCCACTATGGTATGCTTTCTGATAGCATCCTTAAGATGCTGTAGAAAGGTAAGGGGTTTTTCATCAGGACCTTGCTGTACTACAGTCACATGGGAATAGTTTAGGTGACTTTGGCCCTTTTTAGCCCTTCCACTAGAAGATGGATGAAGTGGCATCGAAGCTATTCATCCTCCTCACCATTTTGATTCCAATGTGGATCTGCCAAAGGGACTGCCTGTGCCCTGTGGGTATTTGCACATTTATTCCCTCATTTTCAGGTGCCATGGGTTTTGGAGCATTGTAGATGGAAATCATCCCCAACCTGAGTGGCCTGGCCAGGACCCATTGCTTTTCTAATGAGGAAAGAGTCTGGTCTAGTAGAAGCATAATATCCTTCCATGCCAATTCAAAG